ACCCACCTCTCACAAAGGACTCAAAGGAGGGTTGGTTGGGAGCTGACAGAGAGAGAAAAGTATCATCTATAACAATAGAATTACTTTCAATAAGATATAACTCACCAGAGGAGACAATAAAAATCAGGACTCAGGACTCAGGACAGAATCGATGCCTTAGAGACCAGCTTGAACAGGAAAATGCGCTTTTCGTAACGCAGTGATAGAAACTGCTTCACTCACGTGGTTTAGCACTGGTGAACTTTGGACTAAATTGCACAATCGCACAAATCCACTCAACGTGACATCAACGAAAACAATTCACCAATGGCACCATACCATCTTCGAGAAAAATCAAAATCCGGTAAAATTTGCATCGCTTCTTGCTTTTATCACCTAGGTGAACAATCTAAGAAGAACTTCAACCAATCACCAGAAATCTGAGGTCGTCAGGGAGAAATGACCAGTGGCGACATCAGCGCTCTTTTAGGATTTGAACTAATTCGTGTTCATGATAGGCATAGATTAACGACTCCCCATAGGGAATACCAAGAAAATACAAAGGAAGTGTTGAAAAGAGAATGAAATAAAATAAGGAAATTCTTGAATTGGGACATTCTGTACAACGATATTCATTATACGAGGAGCAACCAGGTGATTTCCGATCTCAGTAATATTTTCATGTTCCTTAGTTCAGTGAAGTTAATCGAGAGCTAGACAACCAACAATACATGTTATCATTTTGTGGGTTTAGCAAATTGAGGACACCAAAGTTGCTGCCATGGAATAGTGGGAGGAATAAATATTGGTTAGTACCGAACCAGTTTTCAGAAATCAAATACCTACCTTTGTTTTTATGATGTCAAAAATAGGACCGCGTCGCGTTCCATACACTGGGTGTTATAAATTTGATTTCTCCCATAGAATTTTGAGCTAATAAATGAACATAAACGGATTACCGTAATTTCAAAGTGTTACTAGAAAATACTCATGAATAACATTCTCTATTATATTTTCTCAGCATTTGCCACTGGATTCCTGAATATTATAAAAGTTTCATAGATGAGAGAGCAAAAATAATGAAATATTCACTTAAATTCCTCCTAAAATATTTCCTCATACGTCTTCGTTTCCATGTTATTCCATCCCTCATATTCGTTTGGACAGGCGGTTATATTACAGCCAATTCACTTTCCTCAAGCGCAGTTCCTGACGCAAGAAGTGAAACCATAACAATACATCAAAAATGTAGATTTCGGGAAGTAGGTTTAAACGTGCGGAAAATTCTGTTGTTATTTCTATTGACTCACAATGACTTTCGATCAAAATCGCACTCATTATACAGTGTGTCTCTGGAATAATTATACAAGATAATACAAAGAATAACATATGCCAAAATGAGACGTATGAACTAAACTTATTTATTTTAAAGATTTCTTGAATATCTTCAGGAAATATCATTTCAATTTTATAAACCAAAACACCAAGAGAACCCGTTTATATGAAAAACATTCTGATAGGCAGAAGGTCGTACATATTCCAAGTATAGGTACCAACTGAATCTTGATGAATCACTTTTGAGTCTGCCACTGACCAAATTTCGATATTTTGTTCGAATTTTCTTTATTCAATTTATTATTGTACTTTTGGCTAACTTACTTATTTCCTTGTTATTTCAATCAACTCACAAGTTAAACACTTCTCAAAATTGAATTTTTGTATTTTTGAAAAGAAATTTTCGTAAACTCATTGAAATGATCAATAGTTATATGTATATGTATCTAGAGCGCATAATGCTAGTAGTCGAGATGACCAAAGTATTTGGCGCACGAGTTGCAAACAAGATTTTCTCTACAAAAGTCAAAAAATATAGTTTAAAAGTGAAAATATGCTTGGCTTGATATAAAAAATAGTGTTGAACTGGCTTAAAAAGCCTCCCACTATCCTCCCTAGGTACGCACGATGTTCCACGAACATTTAAGGAATTTCCTTTCGTGCGCCTCAAGAGATAGAAAAAAGTTATTGTTGAACATTCAGAAATAAATCATTTTGTGAATGTTTGCTTGATTGAGTACCATGAAGTTGAAATATGAATATCTCATATACTTTACACAACAATGCGCGAAGTAGGTACTTACCTATACTTCGCGCACTGTCGCGAAAACCTACTTCACACCACAACAGCTTTTCATGATCTACAGAGAACAGATGCAGCCAGTTTCAGAATACTGTTCTCATGTATGGAGTTCAGGATCCATCCATATAACACATGTACATCCAATGAATGTCCAACGGATGTACAACATGGACATAGTGGACGTCCATTGAACGCCCAGTCATGTACATTGGAACGTTCAGAAAACGTCCACACCTCACTGGATTTAACATCCTATGGACGTACATTCAGGATGTCTAATGGACGTACATTCGGGATGTTCAATGGACGTACATTCACGATGTTCAATCCACGTCCAGCTTTCAACATACATAGGATGTACAAAAAAGTTCCATTTGTGAACTTACGAAGTGAATCCAATAATGTACGTTACTTGGACGTTCTAAAATTTTTACTATAGAAGTTTCACAATATCTAATATTGTACTTCCAATGGACATTCATGAGACGTACAATATTGAATGTACAATATATATCCAGAATCGTACATTCATTGAACATACATAGATGTTCAATTTGTAAACATACAGTTTAGATCACTACCGTACTCTTCTAGGTCGGTCTAGAACTGTCATAATATGGATGTTTCATAATGTCGAAAATTGTAAGTCCACTTGACAATCATTGGACGAACGAAACTGAACGTACAATGAATATCCGGGATCGTTCATCCACTGAACGTGCATTCACGTCCATTTTGTGAACGTACAAACTGGATCCAATCATGTACATCCATCAGACGTACCATTTTGAACTAAAAAAATATATCCGGAATCGTACATTCATTGATCGTACATAAACGTTCAAATCGTGAACGTACAATTTAGATCCGATTTCGTTCATTTCTTGGACGTTCTGAAACCTACAAATATGGATGTTTTGGTGAAGTCGAATATCGTACTCCCAATGGACATCCATAAGGCGTACAGTACTGAACGTTACAAAATATATCCCTAATTGTACATCCATTGAACGTCCATGTTAGGTTCATGGACCTTTGGACATTATTTGGACGTCGTGTGTTATATGGGGCAGGAACAGAATAAAATTCAGCGTCAAACCGTTACCACCGATAAAACAAGGCCAGCAGACTCTGACGTAAACAGCTCGTGACGTCGCTTACTCAGGCCATCTTCCAAGGCATTCGCGTCGATCGATCGTCAGTTTGTTTTTGTTTAAGAACGGTGGCGTAGGTAAATCGCGTGTGCTCGAATTCTCTTGTTGTTTATTCATCAAAATAATTGGCGGAGAAATTACTGTTTTGTGAAATATTTCGTGTTGTGATAGGCGAAATAACAATGCCTTACAAGTGTTGTGTTCCCTTTTGTCGGGGGAATCATGTGGGTGGTCCAAAAGTTCATGCTTTTAGTTTCCCGTTGGACAAGGAACTATCGAAAAAGTGGGTACATGCAATTCACCGCAAGGATTTTACGACTCCATCTAAGCACAGTAAAGTATGTGAATTACATTTTACTAAAGATGAAATTAGTACTCCATCTACTGCAACCGATTCAAAAACTGGCAAAACTGTAACAATAGATTTGAAAACTCCTAGGCTCAAACGAGATGTTATTCCCACTCAATTTCCCAACTGTCCATCTTATTTATCGTAAAATTACGCACAAGTCGTGATGAAAAACTTGAGATACTAGAGACTAAAAATTTGGCACAAGCACTTACCAAAAGTAAAACTGAATTCGAAAATTACCAAAAATCATTTTGCTACACAGAATTTCAAGAATTTCTAGTTGTATTAGAGTCTTTTCAGTTGCCCGAAAAGTGGTTCAAAATTATCGATTTGCAAAAAGTCACATTATTCAAATTGTCTTATTCTCCAGGGCCCGTAATTACATATCCGGTTTGTTTTGAATGTGGAGTCATTTTTGTATGACCTAGCGATACAAACATCTCTAAAAGCCAATCTGAAAACACCTTTCATCTCTAATAATATCAATCAAATCAAGGAATTACTAATTGAAATAGATAAAAACTAGATACATAATTCGGGAAAATGTCTTGATAATCAGAAAAAGAGGGGTTTGAAACATATTTCGAATGCATTGGACTCCTTGGTTTCTGACTCAATACATTCTCAAATTTCTTTCTGAAAACGGTCATTTGCCTCGTGGCAATGAATGCAGAATTCATTCCAATGATCAAATTGCAACTATTATATTAACATGTACTACAAACACTGTACTTAAAAATTACTGTTTCAAGTCTAACGACCAATTGGGTAAAAAATCCAACAACAGGAAATTGAAAACACTCACTGGCTAATTTTTTAGGTAATAGGAATTCTCCAAGATAAATATAGGTAATTAGGTATAACAAACGGCATGTCTATCAAACCAAAATACATTTTCCCCAATTTTCTTTCGATCAATCTCATGATAAGTTTATGTTCTGCGGGCCCTGTATAAGTAGGTGTTAAGTTTACCTCTATTGAGATTGAATCACTACAATTTTTGCCAATATATTCAATTCGAATGAGTTGCTGTAGGTGGGTATTTGTGTTTTATTCTGGTTTTTGCTTTGAAACTTCGTTTTTTCATAATAAAATCGAATGGGATGCGAAGAAGGGCTCAGTTGACGTCTGGCATCCTCTTTCAACCGGAAGCCCTTCAAAAAAAAAGCAAAATCGGCTCAATAATGATCTAAAACTGAAATCGAAATACGCGGTCGCCTTATAGCGCTATAAGCGCTTGTCGTTTCGAGCCGCTGGTTAGGCCTGACTAAGTGACGTCACCCACGGAGCATGCAGGCCTTGTTTTATCGGTGGTAACGGTCAAACTCACCTTCTCTGCGTTGTTAGCGCCCAGGTAATCGTCCGGGCCGGCTATCACGTTGCACCCGGACTTTCTCAGCCGCAGCTTGTTGACGTGGAAAGCGGACCCGTAGCAGTACATCAGGATCATGGTGGTGGGGAAGTAGAAGCCGCACGCTGCCAGGATCCGGATGGAGGCGCGCGAGTAGAACGGGTCGCAGGCCATCATGCCGGTCGAGTTGAAGTAGAAGCCGCCTCGCGGCAGCACCAGCACGGAGAAGAGGGTTACAGACATTATCCACGTTAGGCTAATGAGAGCCACGCAGCCCTGCAATGGAATTTTTAATTAAAGAAGGAATATTTATTGAAAATTTCACACCTACTAATTTGGACTAATTAAAAGCCTGTATGTTGTGTAGGTACCATAGCATTTGAACACATTTCTGGAAACGTTATCCTCCTCATTGAGGAAAAGTGCATGACATAACATAAGACATTTTGTAACGTGCATAGGTGGAATTACATTTATATTCAAACTCAGATGATGCCGAATACATTTTATGAGTTCCTTGTGAGAAAATATATTTTTATCAACTTTAGTCGAATGAATTTGTGAAAAACTGAGAAACTGAGCTTATTTTTGTATTATTTTGTGTACCTGAAATGAATTACTTGAGTTTTATTCATTTTTACCAAACAATGTTATGGATATATAAATTTTAATGATACTGCATACTTTCGAGTTTCTTGTAAATAAATTCCCACCAACTTTGATGGAATATAATTTATCAAGAATAATAGTTTGAACTATCACCAGCTACTTTATTTATATCTTATATCCCTAAACATTTTTATCAAATTCAATAGAAGGAGTTTCCAATGCAAATATTCAGGAACGCAGCAATCGGGAAAATTCCAGGAAACAATCGAAAATATATTTGACTTCATAATAAGTTTGTGTGAATACAATATTTCAATTTCACGAGATATCCGAGAGATTTTCCTTAACAATTATGAGAATCTATACAAAACCTCTTGTGGTCAACATTTCATTCATCAAACAATGATTCCAAAGAATATTTCAAGGAAAATTAAAAAAAAATACTTTTTCACAACATACCCACTCCAAATTGACGAAGCATACCAAGGAACCTTATGAAATAATCTTCGAAGTTGAAGGATCAAGAAATCGCAAAGTTGCCGTGATCTTCATTAACATAAAAGGAAAGTCCGATGAACTTCGAATGATTCTAAGTTTTTGAGAAATTTCTTCTTTCCTCAAACAATTATAATAATAATGAATGGAATACAATTATATTCAGGGATAGATAATCTTCCCAGTCTTTCCTCAAGATCATTCAGATAATTTTCTTGATGATTTCAGAAAGAATAGACCTAACCTAGAAACTCCTAGAAAATAATAAGAATGTTAATATACCATATTGCGAGCCATATTGTTCATGAGTTTTGAGTAACATTGAATATACGTTATGAAAGAACATTGATTTGAAGTAATTTCTGGCATATTTCTATTATAATTACCATTACCATTACACTGTAATATTTAAGAGGCACAATGGCCCATTCCCGCAACGTATCTGTGACATTAGGCTTCTCTCTGAATAACATCACAAAGTAACGATGTAATATAAGATTTATGTTCAAGTTATGTTTTCATGTTTAGTGGGGTTCTGAAAAAAAAACCGAAATAGGCGCCAATATTTCGTACACCAACGTCAGTCTCTGGAATCTATCGTTCTGAACAATACAACCAGATAAACGTTTTTGTTGCTTCGCACAAATAGTCTTGTAAGAATATGAAGGGAAGTTATTCTTGTAAACGACGCAACCTAACCATAAACAAATAACGACACATAAATATCACTTTCCTGCCATTCTATACGCTCGACGTTTTTCGATGCAATGCAATGCATTCTAGCAGGTACAGTAGGCCCTGATTCTAGGCAATATGACCACTGTTGATCTAGTACCAACTGTTTGCGGTATGTCCACCGATCTGCCTCTACAATATGTTTTTTTTTTAAATTTCGAAATGAAGATACCCAGTTGGGCACTCCTAATAATCAATCGAAAACTCACAGTCGCCTCCACAGAAATAATTTTGATAGCCACATTGGCATTCGAAATGTATTTAATCAATTTGATATGCCGTTGTGGCCATCATAATTGTTTTTGTTCTGAAGGTACGAGACCAACTACTGCTTTTATCAGAATCAGAATCCTAATATCTCTTCTTGTCTTCATGGCAAATCCCTATATGTATATAGGTACTTACCTACTTCATTCTAGTATAAAAACCTGAATTGAATTCTACTTCTAGATTCAATATCAATTGTCAACCTGGATGACATAAAAACTAAATATCTAACAAAACCTATATACTCGTTTTCAGTTCACATTCTCCTTTACTTGAAGTTTGTCTTTTCTAATATTTTCAATGAATATTCCATCTCGAATCGGCTTTACTGAAGCTGTGTATCGAATGTTTTTTGTTAATTTTTTAATAAGTCGTAGATGAAAACAAAAAGAGAGTTGATAATCTGAACTGATTCATTACCATTAGTATTTTCCCAAGAACGTTCAGTGTAACAATACATTTGTTACTTGGAGCTGCGTACATTTTTACTGAAATTACTTGAGTAGTATGTGAATCTCACTACACTTGTCCCTGTATTCGATTATGATTTCATTGGTTGTTGAGGAATATGAGAGATATGGTGCTTATCAGTGTATTACGAGATCAATCATTATGCAATGTGTCTACGTTGATTATTGTACATGGGTATTTCTGATATTTTTTTTCGATAAAGAATAATAATAATTTCATTTATACACGGAAACATCGATATGAAATTGGTCTGTGGTGTAAAATTTTATAATGTGTGCTTGACTGAGTAGATCAAATAGCGTGACAACAATAGACCACCAAATGGCTGCCGTTTCCAGAATGTCATTCTTGGTCAAATCACTGAATAGCTGAAAAGCTGAAGGGTATTATTTCCCTTGCAATAATACATTTGCGTCCTCGAAGTGCCCACCTAGGTTCAGATATTTCATATCATCATTTCATCATCTGAATAATCTGAGACCTACGAGTCCTGAAAAAAGGAATCTGATAGTTAATATCCAAGGTACTGAAGTATCGAGTTCCATGTCTAATTGTTGGATGTTTTGTGTCCAGAGAGCAAGAAACACAGACAAAGCATTGACAAAATTATATATTCATATTAAAGGTGTGATCAATCAAAAAGTTTACCATTATTGCCGTCACTCTTTTCATAAATTCACTCTAGTGTGTACAACCTCATTCACTTCACCGCATTTCCTTGATAATGATTTTAAACAAAATGTGAGCATCATAGTAGGGCTTGAATTTAAAAACCCCGTTAGCATGACAACGCTGCAAATTATGCTAATAGTCTCAAAAGTTCAATGACTATGGAAATCTTCTAGATTATATCAGAAGTGAATATAATATTGCTTTCAGGTTCTCCCTATAACTCGTGCGATGAATTGAATTGGATTGATGAGGATTATGTAAATGAAGAGCACATTTTGTTTTTACTGTACCCATAAAAGAAAAGACTGGTTGATGAGCTGGAACACATTGAAAATATGTTATACGTGTGCACGTTACATACAAGTTAAATTACTTACCCACATATTTCACATTCGCGAAAGATTGTTTCTGTTACCAATATCATTAGTTTGATCTGAATCTGCATTGGTTATCTATATCATTGTCATATTCATTTTCAACCTTATCTCCATAATATATGCAATTCTTCCTGGTTTGGTCTTCGTTTTGAACTTACTTCACTTTTTCGTGTCCCGAATTTTTCACAATTACTCGGCCCAGTTTTGGGCCACGTCCATTGTTTCGGGTTTGCTTTTCCATGAATCGTGGAGATCACAGTTTAAGGAACAGTAGACGCATTTCAATAGTTGTTCCACATTCGGTATTATCCCACTTTCGCACTTTCCGTCAGTTGGTTGCGCAATGCCCCATTTGATCAGGTTGGGCATTGGGTAGCATTCTCCAAGTTTTTAAGTTATACGAGACACCATTCGGCGGAATTCCTGACAGAAAATAGTTTGCAGGTGGTTCATGCAGGAGATTGCTGAGGAATCGACTTTGGAATTCTTGATGTTTCTCGAAATGGGGATGGCGATTGTCGAATGTTTTCTCAAACTTCTCGTTAAATTCATGTGCCTTCCCTATTCAAAAGTTCTCCCTTGAGACGTGATGCCCAAGTCATCGGCGAATAAAAAGTGTGTTGTGTTATCCGGTGTTGGTTTGTCGTTGGTGTAAATGTTAAACAGGATCAGTGCTAACACCCTTTCTTGAGCGAGGTCGTTTTCTTTGTTTCGCCAACGGTGTTTTTACCTAACGTAGAAATGAATGTTCTGCTGCAATGATTCGATCATTTTGACCATTAGGTAATCCCTACTTGTTCCATATACTTTTCGATCCAGCGATCAGGTCGGCTAAGGCAATACCCGTGATTGCTTTATTACCCTTTTTCTATATGCTTTGTGAACGCTTAATTTTGGCCAGTGCATGATTTCCTGGTTCTGAAACCATCCTGTCAGAGTATTCGTTTTGGATCGACGACATTTTTGATTCGATCAAGTATCAGTCTTTCATAGAGTTTGAATAGATGACACAATAGAGGGATTAGTAAGTAGCTGTTCGGGGAGTCGGAATCTTCCGCTGGTTTCAGAAGGGCAACCACTTTCGTTTTTTTTTCATGGCTTAGTCATCTTGAAGGTCTCTCGGTTGTTGTTGAATAGGTGTGGGAGCTATCTTTTTGTGCCAGGCCCAGAATGTTTGATTTGTTGAAAGAACGTATCGTCGAACCCGGTGGCTTTGTTGCTCGGAGAAGGAAAGTTGTTATTTGAATATCAGTACACCATACTCATCAGACATCATGCTGAATATGTAACTGGTATTATAATATCATGCTCATTCTTGCCCACGATTCAAGACCAACTTCACACACGTTTCAGGTTCCAGGAATTCCTCTGCTTCTTTTTTAAAACGAATTGCTCTTGTCCTCGAGAAGAAACTTAGAAACCAAATAAGTTTCATGTTATGTGGTCAAAACTTGATAGCCAGAAACAGGCCAAATATCTTTGTTTTTTCTACTTATTGTTAATTGACTCATCCTATAGAGAGCTTTCCAGTTCTTGTCCCTGAAGCTTGACCTTATTCAGTGAAACCATCCAGCAGCAGAATTCGGCATCATGGACGATGTCATTGTACACAAAACT